TACCTATTTTGGCAGACATGCTTATTTAGACATGACACCTGCAAATGAGTTGTGTAAAACATTGTGGTTTTGGTTGGATACTAGATTTGTATTGTTGTGGTAGGTCACAAGTGTGTATATGTTTGCAGAAAAGACTTTTTTATTTTATTTCAAATGGAAAGAAAAGAAGCAATAGCTTTGTGAGCACTGACAGATAATTCAATGTTTTGCATAAAGTCCAAGCATTTCTTCTCAATCTGTCTGGATTGTGTTCATCGTGCTTTTGCATGTTTAGAACCAATCAGTTGAGACATGAACAGATATATTGTTTGCTTGCTTGTTGTGTTGTTAATGTCATTAATAATGTGATTCCATTACCTAGGTGACCTTGGCACAACTTGAGAGCCAGGTATTTCATTAGAGCTTCCAATTATTTATCACTACTACTACACGTAGGACAGTTTAACAATATCAAGTGTTGGTCCGCCTAACAATTTTCAATCAAATCTGGCTCCAACTGCTTCTCAAAGGAACTATTGCTCATAATACTGAAAAACTCTTTATTTTAAGCATAGTTTAAATTTAATCTGTGATATCATAAGAATTATATAAAACCAAACATCACTGAACGTCATCACACATATCTGTATGCAACTTCAAAACCAGAAATAATGTTCTTTTAACAGATTAAAAAGGCATTGTGTACACGTGAATAGACACCACAGTCACTCAGTATAGAAACCATCACTGCACTATGGAATATTCACCTGCAGTGTATAGATTATAAAAATAGTTTGCCCCCAAGTCCCCTTTCTCCACAACTTTTTTTTCAAAATAAAATTAATGAAGTCCCTTCTTCAATAAAGAAGATAAAAGGATTATAGGTCTATGCATGTTCTTCACAATGCAAAACAACTTTTTTTTTGCAATTTCTTTTTCACAAAAAGGGGAGGGGAGATCAGTTCATGGATTTATCATCAAATACTATGAAAATATTGGCTGTATAACTGACATTCACTATATCATGATATATGCCACAGTGACAAGAATATTGAGGTTTGCACAGTTGATGTAGAGCAGTTGCACTGAAATGACACTAACTTATAGTGCATCATTTGTTTTGTGTTAGAGAAATTTGATTTACCCAAGAATGAAAATGGTGCAAAAATTTGTCCAAATTGGCCTTTTTTCCCCATGGGTACTGATTCAATTTGACTACAAATAAATTAGGTGTATTTTTATGATGATAAGGGATTTTTTTAATTCAATAACTTGGTACTTAAGCATAGGGTAACTCCAGATAATTTTTTGCCATTTTGACATTTATCTAATTTAAACTACAGATTGAACAAAATAATGTATTTTCATACAATTCAGAAATTGGAATCTTGTGTTTACCTCTGCGTCTAGTTTTAATCTCAGACTTTATACATACAACATTTAGGAATCATGCTTATGCAGGTAGTGAACTATTTATGTATAATATATTTATTTTATATAATGAAACTATATAACCTTAATCTCTTCACTTGCCATGGTCACCTTTGGTAATTAGATCACTGTCACTTGAAGCTTTTGTCTTTCTAAACAATTGATATTTATATTATTAATAAATATATTATCTGTGATTGAGGTAGTGGGTATAAGCCTGCCGCAGAATAGTGCTTTTGGGATTGCAATTTTATTTTTGTTTCTTTGTTTTGTTTGTTGGTTTATTTTTTTATTATTAATCTTGCTGTTATTGTATTTTCATTTCTGTGTTTTAAATTTTCACTCAGAAGTTATATTAGATGTTTTTGACTAAGTTCAGGGTTGCCGTGATTCATTTTCTAACCAATCAAAATTCATCAAGGTCAAGGCTGTTATATGACAATTACCCTTTTTCTCAGAAATTTCAGCTTTATCTTGACAACGATATTTATTTGACACATTGTATCATCCTCAGAGACCCGGTACCTCCCAGAGACCAGGACCAGAGAACTGCCCCAGGATCGAGGCCAATTTTGCAGAGATTCTCGTTCCCTCTGGCACGACCAGGATCGTGTCTGTGAAGGCCATGGCTCTGCATGTGAGTCAGGGCTATCTGGGTGTTTACTCCTACTTCATGTAACCAGAAAATCTCTCAAATTTAAAAGTATTTTAAAAGATTCTCATTAAATTGCAGTTTTTGCAGGTGATGGGGGTGGTTAAGATTGTGAATACTAGATCAGAAGTATTAAAAATTTTTTTTCTGTACTTTTTTAGGATTTTATGAGCAGTTTTGAGTGTAAGTTCTACAAGAGCGACAGAGTGGAGACGGTGCCTGCGACTAAGACAGGGTCCAACGTCATAGAGTGTAATCCTTCCCAGGCGATGGAGGTAGGAAAGGGAACTGTCTTCAGTCTTTTATTTATTCTTTGTTGCTGTGTTAGAGTATATAAATTATGGCTACTTACTTTAACTATTTTTGTTATTTATTTCAATTTGTACTGCACTAGACTTGTTCAAAAATTTACACTGTCTTGTAAAAATACATAAAGCCTGGCATTCCTAATTAAGTGCTATTGTGATTTTAAAAGAAAATTCAGATTTTAAAAGTTTAAAAAACAATTTAAAAACTGGTAGGTTAATCTATTTGGTTTATCTTGACAGAAAAAAGGAGTGTTTAGAACATGTTTGGTATGGCTTGATTTAAGTAAGGTCAAATCCAGTTTTAATTCAGTATAAGCATTTTTAATGTTCTATCATTTCAGTTTGCCTATGTGGGGAATGCTCAACATCAGAATGTCCGCTTTGAGATTACTTGGGGCAGCGGAAGTCGACCTTTGGATAACCCCTCGAATATTCAAGGTGGGTTTCTGTGAATTGCTCCACTGAGAATGGCATAGGAATTGATGGCAAGAATCAAATTCAGTGATGTGTTATACTTGGGTAGTGAAAATATTTTAAGGATTCATCTCCTTTGAAATTAAAACCTGCCTTGTTCAGTTTCTCAGAGCTAAGCAAAATGTGAACAGATTCCTTGAATCATTGTATATAACTTCTTCCTTTCTGTAGTTGAAGTATACAAATGCTTTGCCATGACAAACTGTTTAAAATTCGCATAAGTAAGAAAAAAATGAACAGTCGGAAAAAATATCCAGGGTCTCTGTATCCGTTTTTTTACCTCTCTGTAGTTAAAGTTTACAAGTGCTCAGCCATGGCAAACAGCTGCGGCAGCTGCCTCACTATGGAGGACAAATACAACTGTGGATGGTGCTCCGGTCAGAACAATGTCTGTACCATACAGGACCAGTGTCTGGGGGAAATGGACACTTGGTTGGCCGGGAACTCTGTTTGCCCCAACCCCCTGATTCACAGCGTGAGTAGTGCAATGAAGAGTAACTGTTGTATACAGTAAATAGTCTATTGATAAAGATTAAAAGTTTTAGAGAAGTTATCAAGGAAATGGAGAATAATGTAGTTTTTAAATATAGTTTAGGGTAGTAGTGTTTTTGACAAGTTCAAGTATTCCTTCAAAAATTGTTGATGAAGAGAAATGTTTTCTGTGTATGAAAGACAAAAATGGAGCTTTCAGATTTGGTTTCAGAATTGTAAGTTTGTAAGTTATGCTATAAACAATTTCTCTTATTGACTTAAGACAAATACTGTTAGAGAGAACAGAATGCACAATTATAAGGAAAAATTCGTTTTATTTTAGTTCTCTCCAAAAACTGGACCAATCGAAGGAGGAACCATGGTAACAATTAGAGGAGTGAATCTTGGGAAGACCTTTGCAGATATCCAAGATGGCGTCAACGTCGGTGACAGACAGTGTAGACCTCTCCTAGAATACTACGAGCCTGCCACGAAGTATGTACTTGTTTCAGATTTATAACAACTCAAGGTTATACATATAGGTTTACCCTAATCTATGCAAATTGGATTTCTCTGCAATTTGGGCACTTTGAACTGTATCCAATGAAAACTGAAATTATACATTGTATTGGTATTTGTCATAAGGCATATTTTATCAAAACTTTCTTTCTCAAACTAAACAGTTCACCACAACCCGAGTATAAGTCTTTAAGTTTGATGAATACGTACACTCTTCTGCATTTAAATGATTATAAAATGCTCACAAACAAAAGCTGTTAACATGACACTAATCAGGGTAGAAAATTGGGCTGTATATTAGCATGCTTAATTTCATTATTTTGTTTTATATACCACAGATTGGTTTTAACTATTATTGGTCAATAATATTGTAAAAGCATTACAAAAGTACAGGATTAAGAAAAATTTCTTTCTCTGTTTCAGAATTGTGTGTATCACTGGTGAGGTGCCCTCAGCCAAGTCCAAGAAGGTCCAAGTTATTGTCAGCACACGTTTCACTGCATCCTCTGTGGACAACTTTTCTTATGTGGTAAGTGTTAAGGACAGATTACTAGAGTCACACCAATTTAGGGAAAAGCATTATCAAATTTCTATAGTTGTTATGAAGTAAGTTTAACCTCTAGATCCCATAAAATGGATAATGTGTTACAAAACAATATTTTCTGGATTGAGGTTTTACACTTTTTGTCATGATGATGATTTTTATAATTTTGGTAAAAATAACATGTATAGCAAGTGCACAATATACTGGTATCAAACAATCATGAGCTAGTCAAGATCAACATATAAAGTCATTGTATCTTTACTTGTTCATTACAGATATAGATAGCAACTTTCACATTTTGCAAAAAAAGGGTAAAAAAAGCTCTAGATATAGATAGCAATTTTCACATTTTGCAAAAAAGGAAAAAAAAGAAAAAAAAAAGCTGAGATCATGAATAAACTTCCAAGATTTCAATACTTGCATTTTAACAAATAATTCAACAAAAAAAAAAAAAATCAAATATTTACCCATGGTTTTCTTCTAGGTTCCAAGGATAAACAAAATTTTCCCCACACTGGGGCCCAGGTCTGGGGGCACCATTCTGAATATCACGGGGACCCACCTCAATGCTGGCTCCAAGATCAGAGCTATGGTGGGGCAGCTGAATTGTACCATTACACACATCAATAATAGGTAAGTTCATCACTTGTCTACACAATTACAAAAGTGCACTTTTACCAATTGTCTACATTATCTTTCATGTGTGCACGTCTGTATTTAGCAGTTTATTCATAGGAAGAATATAAAGTATTTTCTTTTGGATATATTTGCAAAATGCTTTGAAGAATCACATATTTCTTCAGTAGTGGAATGACTTTAGTTTACCAAACTTAACTGCACTTCTTTATTTACCATTTTGTTGATTAAAACTTAAAGGAATCACTTTCATTTGAAATAAATTGTAAAATTCAGGTATTTTGTTATACATGTAGACTTGAACACATTATAAAAGTACACTCACATAATTTTTTTCTTCCATAAGCCAATTACTAGCTCATGCTATGCTGTATACCAATCAAATTTCTTTTCATTTTTCCACTTATAACAATCCTTCTCTTATTTTTCCTAAGACTCTGCCAATCAATACCAAGAGTTCAAATCCCATCCACCAATCAGGTGTGCTCTCTCATTTCAGCACTACCATGGGGATCACCAATAACTGGGTGACCTGCATTACCTCACCCGCAGAGGATATAATCCAGACAAGAGTTGCCATGGTGTTTGATGACAAAGCCAAAAAGCTGAGTGATGAATATTTTAGCTACATGAAGGACCCCAACATCACCTCTGTTGAGCCTGACAGGGCAGTGTTGAGGTAGGTGACCTTGACCCTATCTGTTATCCTATCAATGGTCCTAGCAGGCCTGTAACCAACATTTTCAAAGGATTGTACTTTTTCCGTAAAATGAACCTTTTAACCCCCTAAATTGACCCAAGAAATGACCCATCTAAAGAAATGGCATGGAACACAGCTAAATTTTGATTCAGAGCTGACTTTTTGCAGCTAAAAGGCTACATGGTTCTTTCTAACCCCCTCTTTAAACAATTATAGTAGATATAAAGTATACATTTATAAGTGAAAACTATTCCCTTTCCAGTGGAGGTATTAGAGTAACTGTGACAGGGGAAGGTCTAAATACTGTGCAGGAACCCAAGATGTATGTCACATATCAAGGTCAAGACTACATCAGTGTAAGTACAGTCCCAAATCTATATTGAAATTTGTACAGGAATTGCTGAATGATGAATAATTTTAAAAATCTTAAAAAATTATCACTTTAATTTGCATTTGCACAGAACTTTCCAGTGCCAAGAGGAAAAAAAATTGTAATCTGATTTTACTGGTTCTTGTTACTTAGAGGTAATTCCTGTTCATTGAAATGAACCCAGTCCACCTTGACCTAATTTTGTGACATTGACCTACTTTTCTTTTTCAGCCTTGCAACAGCACATCAGCAAGTCGTATGATCTGTAAATCTCCTTGCATCATGAAATGCGATAAAGAGGAAGGCCGCCGAAAGAGAGACGTGAACCCCACTGCCAACACTCCTCTAGAACTGGAGTATGGATTCATCATGGATAATGTGATGTCCGTGAGGAACTATTCAAGGAACAAGGGGGACACTTTTTCCATTTTCCCAAATCCTGAGTTTGATTCCTTCCCCGGTGGAACCAAGTTTTTCCAGACCAAGAATGAATATTTGACATTAAATGTAATGAAAGTTTTTTGTATTTTTGTATATGGTACTACATTATTTGAGTAAAAAATAAGATGCTTTAGAGTATTAAGAAAAATGATTTAATCATTTCATTGGTAAAAATTGACATTTAGAACCTTAATTAAGATAATGTTCATTTAAGGGAGTGGATATTTCAAATGATTTTTCTTAAAGTAAGGAGATTATCAGATCAAAATCCTTACAAATATTCACATCCACAATGCAGCCCATTGTCGAAACTGACATTTCAAAAACTTCCAAATTAACTGAATACTAAATTCATTGAATCACAGGGCAAAAATCTGAACCTTGCCATGAATGAGGACGATGTGATGATCAGGATAGGGGACAGCTTCTGTAACGTCACCTCTATCTCCCCCACACAGCTGACCTGTATTCCGCCACTGAAACAGCCATCTTCCTTGGAGGGTAACAAAGACCCAGAGGTTGTGGTAAGTAAAATGGCTGACAGTAGGAATCCTCCAGGCTAGCCTTATGCCTTGTGGTTTGGCGTAAAATGGAGTGAAATTTTGGTAGATTGGAGGAGAGTGGGGTCAAAAATAATGGCAGACTTTAGGGTGCTTAAAAATTTTGAATGATGTGTTTTTCCAGCTAATTTAGCTTATCCAAATTGATAGCAATCAAATTTCCCTTTACATAAAATTATATCTGTTATATAATTTTGTCTACATCTTTGTTTGATTTTTGCAGGTGAGCGTTGGAGACAACTTCAGAAAAACACTTGGTGTTATCAAGTACGAGGAAGGTGGTCTCTCCCTGACAGCCATTATTGCCATAGGGGCTGGTGTAGGGGCATTCTTCCTGATCTGCCTCCTTATAATCATTCTTGTCTGTGTGGCATATCGCAAGAAATCCCAAGAGAGCGACCGCGTGATGAAGAGAATGCAGACGCAGATGGACGTTCTGGAGATTCGCGTGGCTAAGGAGTGCAAAGAAGGTGAGAGAGAGTTTGATAAAAATGCTAATATTGATGTCTTACTTTTGAAACAATTTGTGGTAAATTCTTTGATCTATTTCAAAGAGTTTTATGGATTGTATTGCCAGAAAAAATCAATTTGAAAAATTGAGTACTTTAAAAACTTTTTAAAATGACTTTATGCAACAGGTTTGAATCCATGTTTCTTAATGAATGATGATGAAGGTAGGCAGACTTTTTCATGCTCCCAGTTTGATAGACAACAACCATATTTTAAAATTATGAATACCAACCAGTCTATAAGATCTTATCCTGGCAAAAAAATCTATTCGATCGAAATTTATTGGTAGGAATAATTAATGTGTTCAAATAGATCAAAGAATTGTCCAATAATTGTACCCAATATAGCATCCATTCAAAATGCTTTGTGCCAATCAGCAAAGTTAAGCTTTCAGAAATGATTTTTCACCAACATCATTGGTTTGTATATCATTAAAAAAAGAACTTAACTAATTGGATGTTGCTGAATTTCATTGTTTCTGTTCTTTATTTGATGTCAAAAGGGGGGTACAATGAACCTACAGATTCAGTTTTTTTGGCGTTTGTGTAATAATTTCAAAGAAAATAGAAGCAGCATGAAGAACGTGTCCAGTTATATGTCTATTTTGTCTCAAATAAGCCTAAATCTAGCTTTAGATTTGTCCAGAACTTTTCATTTAGGAAATGACCTTCATGTCAGCCTTGACATCTCATGTTGACCTCAACCTTGACCTCTAGGCTTTGACCTCTTTCAGCCTTTATAGAGTATCTAGAAACAGACATCACTGACTCTACATCTGACATTGGTATATATAATGATGGTTGGTATAGTGAACCAAAACAATTAACTTTTTTCCATTGATTTTTTTTAAAGTATTCACATGGTGTGAAATTGAAGGCACTGTACATTGCTGTTCAGTGGGCCCTGTTTGTTTGAGTTTTCTTTTGGTGAAACATGTTTGCTTAATGGCTTTGAATATAGTAGGCTCTGCTTTTCTGCTTTCGGCAAAAATGACTTGGGATAGATTATTCTTTAGTAGTATTGGACCATGGTAGTCTGTGAAAAAAATGTTTCTGGGTGGGGAAAGGCATATAATACATATACCTCGATTAAATAAAGAATATGTCAAAACAAAAAGGAAAGAAAAATGTGTTTTTTATGCTGCACTGCTTGAGTGATGTGAAATTTTGGCATTGCAACAATAGAGGGCACAAATGCCAAGAAAGGCTAATATGAAAAATAAAAATATTCATCTGTGGTACCCATGACAACATCACTTTTGAATTGATGTGTAAACCACGTGTTTTATCACAGGGTGCATTTTGATGTGATTTTGCACTTGTTTTAAGATGGCAACAAAAGCAAATTTATTGGTATGTTAATATCAGATAAATCTGTGCGGCTGGTTTACAGTTTCCAAAAACAGAAATGGTTTCATCGAGAAATATGTTTGTCACTGAAGTCACATTCTGTATTGTTTCAAACAAATTATCTTGCATCTCTCAAATTGAATCTAACATAAAAGTTGATAGATGAATAGATTATGTCATTATCTGCTAGCTTGTCACAGATCTTTTCCAACAACTTTCTTAACAGTCACCCTGTCCCATTATAAAAAATATATTGTCTAATTGAAATGGTTGTTCAGATGAAGATTTTATCCATTAATGGTTATTGTATCCATTTTCTTCACAAAATCACA